CGGGAACCGGACAAGGCAAAGAGGTGGAATTTAATTTGGAAATGGAAGGGGTCACAAATGTGCTGGACGGGTGAATTTAATGCAAAGGGGACAATCTGCTTATGGTGGTGGTCTTCTCCGGCACAATGCTGGACGGTGGCTTGGAGGTTTTGTTGCAAATATTGGCTCCTGTTCTATTCCAAATGCTGAACTGTTGGAAGTTCTGGAAGGCCTTCAGATGGCTATAGGCTTAGGGATAGGAGATATCCAAGTGGAGTGTGACAGTTTGACTGCTGTCCAGCTTATTTCAGCATCCGTTCTATCTGCAGGGGCAGTACAACAGCTAGTGCTTGTGATTCAGCAGTTGTTTCACCAGTTTAATTAACAGCTGTGTTATCAAGCACGTTTATAGAGAAGCAAATCAATGCGTAGATTATTTGGCTGAGTGTGAAAGAACCTATCCCTTAGGAACACACTACCTCAGAGATCCTCCTTCAGGAATGGCAGACTGGCTATTTCATGATAGTATGGGTGTATCTTACACTAGATTAACTATGTCTTCTTAGAGCTTTGCTCTCTCCTTTTTTACCAAAAAGAAAGAATAATTTGGAAAATACTTGGCTTTCAAGAAACGATAGAGAATGGAATTCTCATCATGACATAATCGGCAGCGTTGTTTAGCCAACATAGTAATATTAAAGCTCTGTATATCCCAAAATTTAATCACATTAGATTTTTCTTGATTTTAATTTATTACATCCAATTGTTTTGTTTTTATTTTTAGTTTTTCTTGCCTTTTCGTATTTTCTTTTTATTTACACATATGTTAGAATCAAATTGTGTATATTTTCTTTTTTGTTATTAGGTCTATCTTTTTCGCATACAATTTATTTGATTATTTATATGAAAGGAAAATAGAATAAAAGTGAATTTAAAACTATTCTAGATTATGTTATATGAAAGGAAAATAGAATAAAAGTGAACTTCCAAAAAGTTATTTAAAGGAAAATTCAGTATATATTTTTCCCACCTATGTAATATCAATTGATTATAAACCTATGGTCGGGGCAATATAAATAATATATCAATGGAATAACCAAAATAATTGTGGGGACCAATTATCTGCCTTATTTTTTATAAAATTAGGTATTTAGATAATTAAATATGACTTGTAGAAAAGGCTTCACAGAAGATTATTTTATAAACAAACTAATAAAAAACCACTTAATATTCAATTATTATGGTAATCAATCTATATATATATATATATATATATATATATATATATATATATATATATATATATAAACTAATATTATAAACTACCACGAGTAATAATAAGAAAAAATGATAACCCATTAAAGAAAGTATATAATTTTAATATGTTGCCTAAGAGTCATAATAACTAAATATTATAACTACACAGTAATAAATAGAAAAATGATAACATTAAAAAATATATAATTTTAATTTTCAAATAAGTCATAAACATGATAGTTTGATTTTTTTTAATAAAAACTAAATAAAATAATAATTAAAAATGAAATATAAAAAACATATAAGTAAGTATTCGAGTTGAAAAAATAAAACATGAATTAAAGAAAATAAATGTTTAAAATTTACATCAATAAATTAAATTATTCTAATTTTTCAGAAAGTATTTCTCATTTTTTAGAATAACACTAATATTTTAAACAACATAAAATAATTACTTGCAAAAATTACATATTAATTAAAATTCAATGCTTGAAAGTTAGTAGAAATATTAAGTTTAAACTCACAAAAAATACCGTCATAATTCATTAACAAATTAAATATTTTTAATTTTTTTGTTAGGTAATGTTTTTTATTTTATTAGAAATAGAATAGCAATACAAATTCATATAACTTATAATAATTATTTTCAAAGATTAAATATTGAAATACAATATAATAATTTTTTGGGGTAGAAAATATTTCTAATATTTTTAGAATACCACTGAAATTTTATACAATATAAAATTATTTTCAAAGATTAGTAATTTCAATAGGCAACAAGAAATACAAGTAAAATATTCTTAAGCATACATATAAGAAAAAAATACTAAAAATTTATAAATTGAAACAAAGAAAAAGCAAATTTGAAAAAGATAAAAGAATAAAAACAAAAGAAAACACCAAATAATTTGCCTTTAACAGGTTCCAAATCCACACCAAAGTAACGAACACCTTCAGACATAAATCACTAAACAATACCTTAAATCTATTTAATTAGTCACATGGGATAATATAAATTTTGTGTTGGAGAGGATGGCCATGAACAGTGCTTATTCTGCAATTTTCTCATCAAACAGAATCTAGCCAATTTTTTCATTTATCAATAAATTATTTACTTCAAAATTCATTTGTACTAATAAGGGAGTAAATAACAAAAGTTAATTGGCAAGCGTACGTACCTTCTAGATTAATCCAAGAATGCGTTCGAAATCTTCTTGTCTGAAGATAATCTGATTATCAAATTTCAACTCAACATTCAAATTTGTTTTTACTCACCTAATGAAATCATATAACTGCCTAGGCATGGCAACTTTTCAATATTCAAAGAAGCAAAGCCCTTTTAAAAATTATTAAATACTTTATTGGGTTCTCCTTTTTACAAATCATAAAACAAAATACTACAAACACGGCTTAATATGCACTTATATCCTGAATTTAGAAATTTATTGCACTTACACCCTAATTTAAATTTAGCACAATCATACTAAATGAAATGTTAAAAGTGTTTACACCCTAAAATTAAATTAAAAGTTGATTTGCAATAAAAAAAAACATTAGACCTAATAAAAAATCCATTTTTTATTTGTGAACAATGAGAAATATATTCCGAGATAATGGAGTACATAGGCTAATGTTAGTTACAACATAAATTCTAAACATGCATAAATTATTTCAAATTCATCAAATCCTAGAATTTTCAAATTGTTAAAATTTTTGTTTTCCAAAATTTATTTTCAATTATACTTCTCACGTACAATAAATATATAAATTAATACACAAATACCACATATGTTTATCACCGTATATAAACATATATGAACTAAAATGAAAGAAAATCAACATAACAATTTTAATAACTATTGTTCAAACTCAAAGTGATTTCTACGAATTAACTGCTTTTTGTGAAAGTAAAATTTTGCAATAATCAATAATATATTCGAGTGATAGACGAGGAAAATTTAAAATTTGATTTTTTTTCGTTTCAACAGTGTTGTTTCGAATTTGGGTTTAAGTTCTAATTAAATTAATCCAAACTCAGTTATCGGTTCCATAAAAATATATTTTTTATTGCAAATCAGCCCTCAATTTAATTGTGGGGTGTAAATACTCTCAACTTTTCACTTTAGGGTATGGTTGTTACAAAGTTCAAATTAGAGTGTAAGTGCAACATATTCCAAAGTTCAGGAGTATAAGTGTATATTAAACCCTATAAACACAATGGAAAATGAAAATCCAATAAATAAATAATTTATTCTAAAATACTTATCACATTTGTAATTTCAAAAAATAATAAATATTTTTTTCATGTTTATCCTTTTTACGTTACCAACAATTATTATTTAAGTTTAATAATTTTCTTATAGAATTAGAATTAAGGTAATATAGTGACTTATTCAATAATTTATAGTAACTTATATAAATTTAATAGTTTTCTTATGAAAAGTGAACTTATAAATTCCAAACGAGAAATATACATATTGTTAAAAAACATATACGGAATAATTAAAAAGAATAATTGACAGACTTCAACTAGATAACGAACAGACACAACAAATATTTCCAATACTATTGAAATTAAAACCTCAATCTAATTAATTATCATTAAATGAAAGACCCAATGTACAAATTTACCATTCAACTTTAAGATTTTATCGGCATATTTTCATCCATTGCTCCTAGAATATAGACCTTATCACTTTACTGTTTCTAAATTTCATTTCATCATTTAAAAATCCCTATTTTAATATAAAAGCACTTTTTACCAGTTTTAAGATATGAGCCGGTTGAAAGCTGACGTGGAGATGCTTTCACCGAACAATTGACAAGAAAAAAAAAAAAGCAACTGATGGAGGAAAATATTGAAAAAAAAAAAAAAAAAAAAAAACCTAAAATTTCATTTCATCATTATAAAAATCCCTAATTTTAATATAAAAGCCACTTTTACCCCAGTTTATAAGATATAGAGCCGGTTGAAAGGCTGACGTGGAGATTTGCTTTCACCGAACAATTTGGACAGAAAAAAAAAAAAGCAACTTGATGGAAGGAAAATATTGAAAAAAAAAAACAAAGAAAAAAAAAAGTTGATCGATTTCGTTTCATTGTTTTTCAAATACCAGCAAAATATTCTCAAAAAAACAAAACTTGAAGCCTGCTTACATAAACCCTTTTGTATATATACCTATCTTTCATAAACTCATTTTTGTACATACCCAGCAACCACCACATTCCAAGTTAAAAACAAACTAGGTTCTATGGCATTTGTTTTGAACAGCTTCCAAGGCATTCAAAGAATTACACCACATTTAGAATAACATAGCCACTAGAATTGTGTGGCTACCATAGAATCAAACTGAAACCCAGCATCTAACAGCCAAAGACCACGAAAAAAAAAAAAAAAAAAAAAAAAGTGATCGAGTTCGTTTCATTGTTTCAATACCAGCAAATATCTCAAAAAACAAACTTGAAGCCTGCTTCATAAACCCATTTTGTATATACCTATCTTTCATAAACTCATTTTTGTACATACCCAGCAACCACCACATTCCAAGTTACAACACTAGTCTATGGCATTGTTTTGAACAGCTTCCAAGCATCAAGAAATTACCCACATTTAGAATACATAGCCACTAGTGTGTTGGCTACCATAGAATCAAACTGAAACCCACATCTAACAGCAAGCCCATGAAGCTGAATATCTAATTCAAGCATTGCCTCTGAAGCACAAACAAAAAGAACACAGGCAAACACAGTCAAATTAGGCTTAGTTTTGTAATTCCTCATTTTCTCAAAAAACTTTTCCAGCTGTAATGATCCCCCACATCTTAAAGATAATTGAGCATCACATTTCATAAAATACAATCTTTACCAGGCATCTTATCAAACAAAAAACATGCATCTTCTGCACCACCATTCTCTGCATACAACTTATCAATATACCCACAAGCTCATCAACAATAAAATCCATCAACAACATTATATCACAAATCATCTTGCCCATCTCAGATTATTTAAACCACCCCAAGCATAATTACTGGAGGAAAAGTATACTTATAGGAAAAACTCAACAGATCTAAAGAAATCTCCGAAATAACAGAAGAGGCTCTCTTGAACCCATCTTAATTTTGGTATAGAGAAATAATAAAAATAGATACGGGGATGTGGGTGTGATGGGTCGAAGGAAATAGAAAGAGGATGGTATTGGCAAGTAAGGAAGATTCAAGGAGCGACAAGAGAAGGGAGAAGTGTGAGTTATGGGCCTTGTGGATCGTGCATGTGAAATAGAGAGGAAGAATATTTTGTAAAAGTTAAAGACATCTGGATCCAAGAGCATAAAAATAACTTCAAAACAGCAGTGTCGACAGCAAGTTGATTTCTGCAGCAATCATAGATCATCTTAACTTAAGAGAATGGTCAAGTGAATTCCCATGCTGGCATCTAATGTGCTGCTTTCAAGACATCGGGTAGGGCAAGCACAATCAATCCCAGAATTACTCCTAACATCATCCGTCCTCAACCTGCAGCATGGGACAATTCTCAAACCAGATCTGTTTTCTGGCAAAACTGAAGCCTAAAGGCTAATCCTTGCCAACAATAGCTATTATGTGTGTGGTTATGCTGGAAACTAAGATCTGATAACCAAAAATAAACTAAAAGGCTAAATTTCATTAATTGAGATAGACTAACCCAAACGATCCATGATGGCCAACTTCCATTACAGCCGACATCTTCTTGCATTAAGACAATGGGCAACACAATTATGAGAAAAGCTTGAAAGACTCATTGAATCTTAAAGGAACAACAAAATCCGTACATAGAATATCAACAGCTGCTGCAGTTTATTCACTAGAGGAATACATATGCTATATGTGCATAAATCCAAAATTAGTCTCTCTAGTTACATTCAAGCAAAACTCCATCTTAGAATCAAATTGGTAAAGCCAAATGCAACGACAAACAGAAAAGATCTAATGAGGGCAATGATTTTCACTATCACGGCAACAAATTAAATCAGGTACATCAAAAATAAAAATCTAAAAAATGGGTCAAATTAATTAGATGTTCTCCATCTATAGGGATTGAAAATGTCCAAGTACTGGTATCAACCTTTCTATTCCAATTCAAAAATTAAGAACTCATAAAGAAGGGAAGAAACCTATGCTTGTATGCGTGTTTCATATACACATCTAAACAAAGCATTGTAAGATGGATTATTGCACCTTTCTTCCAGATCAGGTAAGTTCTTTGATTCGGAACTTGCTTAAGTTCCTTAGCACAGCAGCCATCTTCCCAGGGTCTCCAGTAACTTGAGACATCCGCATGGCCAACTTAAACAGTCTACAACAATCACAATCCAGATTGTTAGGAAATGCACCCACCATTGGAATATAGATCTAGGGGTTTAATATTTGTTAATATGTTATCAACAAAAAGGAAAGATCATATGTAAAGCTCAAATATTAATAACATAAATTAATCAAATCTCAGTAGAGGGAGATCTCATGACAAGTACACAGTGAAAATACTCGGGCTTAAGCCTAAATAAATTCATGAAAATTGGATTCATGTAATACGAGGCATCCTTGCCTGAAAGCTACATCGCCATGAACATTCACACACACACGCACACACACACACATATACACAAAATAAAAAGTCGGACATTAAAGACGGCCAATTAGTTTTGATCCCAACACACAGACACACACAAACAAAATAAAAATTCAGAAAGACTAATTAAAGCACAGCCAATTTGCTCTGATTCCAACATCAAGCTTTTTCATCAAAGAAATGAACTATAACAGCCAAATTAAAACTTCTTTTTCATTCTAATTCCTGCCCACAAAGCTAGAATACATGCACAGAGCTTAAACTCATTTATCTTATGGAGAAAAGAAAAAAGAATTAGAGATTTTGAATTGACATCAAGATGGAGAAAAATAATTTAGGCTTCCATGCTTACTTCTTCTTCAAGCTCCTTGACTGCTCTTATAAGGCCTCGTGTGATCCCATTTAAATGCAAGCCATCATCCTTCATCTTCTCCATCAGCTTCTCTGCCTTCTCCCAATCTAAGGCCTTTAAGCATAGAGATTGGATCAACTTATTGTACTCATCTACATTAGGTTGGACACCAAATGCCTTCATCTCTGCTACTAACTCCAAAGCCTTGTCAAACTGTTCAAGTTTGCAATACCCTCGAATAAGTGTATGGTAAGTCACAGGACTCAGCTTAGAGTGCTTCTTTTTCGCTTCTGACAGCATTTTACAAGCCTCCTTCATCTGACCCCCACTTGCATAACCACTCATAATAACTGTATAGGTGTAAAGATCCGGCCTCAGCCCCCTCTTTTCCATCAATTTTTTTATCTTTATTGCTTCTCCCACATCTCCATTCTTGGAATAGCCATTGATAATGTAATTGAAAACAGCATTTCCAGGAGGTGGGCCCTCTTCAATCATCTTACAGAGTAAAATTTTTGCCCCTTCCAAATCTTTGATCCTGCACAAACCGCAAATAACAGATGAAAAGGGCTTGATCGCACGCTTCTGTGTTTCTCTAGGTAAGGTATTCAATGTCTCCAATGCTAATTTGACTGTTTCATCTTTCTGACTGAGCAAACTAATCAAAAAATTGACTGCAGGCTGAGGTGGATACTTGTTCTTCTCCTTTGCCAACATATAAACCATATGGGCATCTTTTGCCCTACTCCCTTTGCAAAACCAACAAATAACCTTACCGACTTTCTCACTCTCAGGCAAAGTTTCAGCATTAAGCATCTTCTCACAAACTGACCAAGCCCAGTCGAAAAAAGATCGCCTACAAAGGGCTTCAATTGTATAATAATAAGTATCTGAATCCGGGACATACCCAAAATCCACAAACTTGTTGAAAACCTCATAAGCTGCTTTCCCTTTACCCAACTTTGAAAACAAAATTATCAGCTGATTAAGAATCACAGTATTCAGAACAGCAGCATCCTTCTGAGCAACATCCTGGACCAAATCCCACAATGCATATGCGTTTTTCTTCCTAAGGTCACTACAGATAGATTGAACAAGCAAATCAACTACACGGTTAGTCACACTAATTTCTGGCTTCTCAATTGCCCACCTGAAAAACTTAATCAAATTATCGCCCGAAACAAGAGGAGTTTCCAGTACTTTCACTATAAACTCCTCATGTAAATCCAAATCCATACTATCAAGGCTCAACTCTAAGGAACCATCACTGCGGCTCTGTAACAAAGACAACACATTTTCTAATTTCTCTGTGTCTATCACATAAAACTCTCCCTCATCTACATCTTTTGCATTAATATGGGGATCACCATCCTCCAATGAGTCCCACAAAGGTTCACTGCTTCCACTCTCAGGGGCAAAATTTTCCACCTAGTAATCAACATTCACTCAAAAATTGTTAAAACTATTTGATTCCACTCAATGCAAAATGAATTGACTCTGTTGTTCAACTGTTATCATACCTCAGATTGATATTCATATTTTTCACCCACTGGCGGTGGGGGAGATGATGCATCAGTTTCTGCTGCAGTGGACTCACACCGATGACCCAAAAACAAACCATGTTTCAAGTTCAAATGAGTTGAAGCGCCAGCTCGATTTGGTATCAGATTCCTGGGGGTCAACAATGAGTACCATCTGACTCTATTATCTCCATCTACAGCCTGCTCAAAGCGCCAGCTTGATTTGGTATCAGATAAATTACGTAGCTCTTTAATTCAAGAAAAAAAAAAAGGCAAGATAGTAAACATAACAACATAGACATTCCAAAGAAGGATTTTATTTCTTAATAAACAGAACAATATACAAGCAATATATGCAATTCAATATCAAAAGTAGACTAGGAATTGTACAACAGCATACTTTTCCCGAGGGAAAAAAAAAAAAAAAATCAAATTTGCAAGTTTCAACTGTCCAAATTCATTTAAAAAAAAAAAAAAATCTGGCAATTGAGAATCGATGATACCCCAGGATTGGAATGTCAGCTTATTAAAAGTACAGGAACAATTCGACAAAAGTCATTATGTTAAACCCCAAATTATTTAAACAAACAAAAGTAATTATGTAAGTCCCAAATTATTTAAACATATGAGCATCACAAATTACCGGTACAAAAACTATTATTAAACCCATTTGAGATCAACTAAACCTAGAACTACCTACAAATCAATAACAACAACTCAATATATCAAAAGTTTCAAACTGTTCACAATTCATTTTAAAAAAAAAAAAAAATCTGGCCAATTCGAGAATCGATGATACCCGCCCCCAGGAGGTGGAATCGTACAAGACCTTATATTAAAAGTAAACTAGGAAACAATTCGGACCCCAAAGGTCACTATGTTAAAACCCCCAAATTATTTAAACAAACCCAAACAGCCTACATTATGTAAGTCCCATATGTATTTAACATATGAGCATCCACAAATTACCGTTACAAAAAAAACCTTATTATTCACCCCATTGATGATCAACTCATAACCTAGAACTACCTACAAATCAAATAACAACAACTCATATATATATATAAATCACTATATATAATATAAATATATAATCATATTATATCAGCTCTCCTATCAGACCGCTGCTCCCCCAACCTTTAGACAATTGAGTACATTCCAAAAAAAAACCGATATATCAGTATTATAATCCGCTCTCCACTTTAGACAATGAGTACATTCAAAAAAACGAAAAACAAAAGAAGATTCAGAGTCTAGAAACGAAACAAAGTAATTGAATAATAGAAGCAGTAGCGAGTTGGAAAGTGTACCAAATCGGCCAAGTCAGAAGAACAGGCGAGCCAGGCCGCAGCTGCGCTTCTCCGGTAATTTGAGCCACCGGAGTGAAGGATAGCAGAAACGGAGCGTTTAGATAGCCTATGCATTATTGAGGAGCTTGAAACTGGAAATTAAATGCAAGAGAGGGAACAGTGAAGCGAACTCGGGGAGAGCGAGTTGTGATGGGTTAGGGTTTTTCATATATGGGGTTTTTGGCAAGGCTTTGGAGACAGTGGAAAATGGAAATAATCTATTTAGCTCGCTCGTTCCACGCTAACTATTTTTGTCATTTTATAAACGTAATATTTTCAAAAACTATATATATGGATTTTTTTTTTTTTTTAATTTGACAGTTCAATATTATTTTTAAATAATTTTGAAATAATTCCTCTGTTAGTCTGATTGTAAATTTTCTTTGTTCACTCCAGTATATTGATTTCTTCCTCATCTTCTTCTTTTTATCTATGTATAAATATATAAAAGCTAAGGCATAAGAATTTTTGTGGCACTATTCCATAGTATTAAGATGCTTATGTGGCAAAAAATTAATCCATAAAATTGAAAATAATTTTTATATTTTTAAAATTTATTTTTAATATAATTAATAGGAAACTTATTAATCCATATAAAAATTTTGAAAATAATTTTTTATATTTTTAAATTTTATTTTTAAATAAGTTTATATTATATTAGGAATACTTAATTAATATCTATTGAATAAATTTAGGTTTAGTATAATAATTAATAATAGGAAACTTAATTAATATCATTAATAACATTTTAGGTTTTTAAATAATTAATTAAATTAATAATATCATTAATATTTTAAAAATTTAACTTTCTTCTTTAAAATAATTAATTTTTAATCTCCTCATTTTCCTTTTTCCACTGTTACGGAATTTTTATATATATCTATTTCCGTATAAATGAAACCTTAAAGAAAATCAAACTTTTTTCTACTGTTACGGAATTTTTATAGATATCTATTTCCGTATAAATAAAATCTTAAAGAAAATCAAGTCATACTTTCAACAAAAAGAAATGAATTATTTGCAAATAATATAAGACTATTTCCATGGCATTTTACTTATGTGTGCTTGATTAATGTGGTGATGTGATGAAATTACAGAGTGTATTCAATTTTTGACTATCGATTAAAGTATAATTTTGTAATTTGTAATAAATTATTCCATAACTATTAGCGTATTTTATCCATGTAAAAACATTTTACTTATTTCTACTATAATTAAGTGTTTACTTTTTTTTTAGAAATATAATTCATTAATAATAAAATCAAGTATTATAAATATTCAATTAAACCATACATAGAACTTACTATCATAATTAATAAAAAGTTTGCTGATTCTCTAACAATAAAAGAATTATCTATATTCTTTTGAATAATAAAATTAAAACTATAATTAATTAAAAAGTTTGCTGAACTTATCTACTAACAATAAAAGAATCTATTATATTTCTTTTTGATAGCTAGTTTAAATAGACTTAAAGACTAAATACGAAATCCATATCGGATTTTTCCAACTTGAAGATATCTTGACGCAATATAAAGGTCTTCATAGTAGGTAGACTTTTCATCTAATACATAGAACTTACTATCATAATTAATAAAAAGTTTGCTGATTCTCTAACAATAAAAGAATTATCTATATTCTTTTGAATAATAAAATTAAAACTAAAAGAAATAATATCGGATTTTTCCACTTGAAGATAATCTTGACCAATATAAATCTTCATAGTAGTAACTTCATAGTAGTAACTGGTTCTTTAATTAATTTGGACTACAAAATAACTTCTCCGAATTTTTTATGCTTGGATTGCTTTTCTAAAAACACGTTGCATATGACGTACACAGATGAATTTATGCCACTTAATAATAACAATTGAGGAACATACCGTATTATCAAACTCCATTGATCAAAAATACACATCAGTAAAACAATATCTAAATTCTCCAATAAAATAAAATCAAATATCATACATTTTACTAATAAACCTTTACAAAAAAGAAACAAAACCCTCACGGAAGAAGGAACAAAAGAACTTCAAACATGGAGACAAAAACAACAATGAAAAAAAAAACAAAGAAAAAACAAATCTATTAAAAGAAAATAGATATGAGTTTATTAAAAACGAATAAAAGATTGAGAGCAAGAGAAAAAAAAAAAAGTAGGGGGCTACCGCTGATTAACAACAATAGCCCCAAATAAAAACTAAGGTTAGATAGACTAGAGAAAAAAGAAGAATAGGGAAACCCTAAAGCAAAAAGGGAGTTGGGATTTAGGGTTTCATTTTATTCGAGTTTCTTTACTATTTTGTTCAACGCAATACCACTTAAATCACAGAATTCACTTTTCGCAGTGCTTTTTTTAATAAAATTAAAACTAAAATTCGTTTTCTAATGTCATTATTTGTGAAATAGAGAGATATTTAATAATAAAATTGATATTTATATTTTGTTTTGTGAAGGAAGATAATAGTACTTCTCAACCTATTCTAAATCAGAGCAAACTTCGACGATTTTTTTTTTTAAAAAATTTAATGTTTATTAGATTTATGCCTAGATTTTAGGTTATTTATTCAAAGTGAATTCAATAGTTCATATTTAAAAAGATTATCGTAAAATCTAGTAAAATATTTATAAAAATTACAACATTTAAGCTCAATTATAAATTTGATTTATGTATGTATATGTCAATACGTTGATTCTTTTTTGGACATTAATTAGTACAATAAATTGCATATTTAGATTTTTATAAATAATTATTAATTATAATAAAAATAAAATTTTATTATATTGATTCTTTTTTTGACATTAATTAGTATAATAAATAGTATATTTGGATTTTTCTAAATAATTATTAATTATAATAAAAATAAAAGGGTTTGGATTGTGTTTCTACGGAATATGTATTACCCTATATACTGGAAAAACTAAAGGAGGTTTTTTAATTTTAAAATATTATATATAATAAAAATAAAATTTTTATTTTTAAATATTATATAATATCCACACGGAAGTGCGGAATACGGTAGTTATAACCCTAAATCTAATACCCACCGCCACAACCACAGCAAATGTAAGTGGATCAAGTAATAAGGCGCACGAAAGATTAGTTGTCTTTTGCCATATTAGGAATTCAATTTATAGAAAATAAAATTTATGGAGAGAGATTGCTATAAACTCCATATGAGAATATGATAATAGTTTTATAAAGGACGGCTATAAACTCTGAATGAGATCAATTGTATAAATTTGAATATATCATTATTGATTATTAGAATTATTTATAAAAAATAAAAGAATTTCGACTTGTTCCATGCAATTGATATAAATACGTATAAATAATTCAAACTTTGCAATTTATTGTAATTACACCTTTCTTTTATTTTTATTTTTTTTAACAACTATATATCCCAAAACAAAAGTTTTTTTTTTTTTTTTGAAAGTAAATAAGATCGTATATTTATAATAAATCATGAAAAATAAGATCTGCAATACATTGGGGAGTCGTATTTATAAGTAATATTGTCCATTGGAAAAGATAAGATGCTGCAATACATTGGGGAGTTCGCCGTAGTCCGGCATAGGACCGAAAAACAAGGATGTAAAACATGTCATAGCGAGCAAGAGCACTTGATGCAGGCGCCTTGTTACTTGACCTCACTAAGCCCAAAACCTTATTCACTAGATGGTAAATTTGAGAAAGTAAGTGTGTGTTTTAACATTTCTCTTCTAAAGCATGTGTGCCCAATCGGCTAATACATAATTGTGTCAAATCCAGTAGTTACATGCTTGGCTAGGACAGTTCGTCGGAGGCAGATCTGTTTTAACTAGAACCTACCAATAGTATCTTGATGATGCGAACCAAGATAAAACTCCCTAGGCCTGAATGGCACTCATGCGATGTGAGGTTTTCAGCACCTCCGCAAAAATGCCCCGTTGCAAGCTTACCAGAAACTGTTCCAGTTCCTTCATTTCGGACCAAGGCATACCCATACGACATGAACGACCCCTCAAGTCCCTAATTGGACGCCTGCATTCAACGGTTACAGCTTTATAACAATCAACCCTTCTGGACTCTCTGCCGACAGACGGAGCCAATGTCGGAACTGCAAGCGCGAGACGATACACGAGGGAATTGCGTCATCTAATTTGCGGCGTTCCTTAGCAGAAATTAAATTAGAGTTTATTTCATCCAAGAATCTAACTTAGAGATTAGTTGTTAACAGTATAAAATAATCCATTCCGTGGAGCTTACACACCCGTTGTCCTCTCTCATTTGGCGGCCTCGAGGCCGACGCTGCAATACAAAACCGCACTCACTCAAAAGTGAATGCCATAAGCCAGAGCAAATTCAACTAATCCGCTTCCTCTTATTCCTTTCTTTCAATTCGTCTTATCAGTCTCTCTCATTATAGCATTGTAAAAAAAAATGAAGGTAAATGTTCATATAGAAAATCACATGAAAGTTGAAGTCACTTCTTTCCCTCTCTATGGAATCGCGCGATTCGAAAGATGTTTCCTTATCTATCTGGATCTATCATGTTGCATTTTGTGGATCAAATTGCTTTCTCTTCCTCTATGGTTGTTTGGTGCTTCTCTCGAATTGGCTTGTAACTTCTTTTTTTTTTATGTGAGGTTTTAGCACCCCCGCAAAATGCCCCGTGCAAGCTACCAAGAACTGTCCAGCTTCATTTCGGACAAGGCAACCATACGATGAACGACCAGTCATATGGACAGCTGCATCAACGTTACACTTTACAACCCTGGTCGGAAGAGGAGCCCATGTCGGAACTGAAGCTGACGATACAGAGGAATTGCTTCAATCAATTTGCGCGTTCTAGCGAAAGTTAAAAGAGTATTTCATCCCAAAATCTAATTAGGATTAGGTTTAACATTAAAAAACCATTCTCGTGGAGCTTACACACGCTGCAATACAAAACCCACTCACTCAAAAATGATGCCATACAAATTCAAAATCGCTCCTTATTCCTTTCTCAATTGCATCATCTCTCTCATTATAATTGTAAAAAATGAATAAGATAATAAAAATCACATGAATTGAGTCATTCTTCCTCTCTATGGATCCGCGGATTCAAATGTTCCTTACATTGGATCATCATTGTGCATTTGTGGATCAAAATTGCTTCTTCTTCCTCTATGGTTGTTGTGCTTCTCTCGAAATTGGCTTGTAACTTCTTTTTTTTTTCTTCTTTTTGTGTTTCATTTGAATGATAATTAAGAAAACCTGT